ATATATGATAGAATGAATGTAAAATTAATGTTCTCCCATGTAAACTATCACATAATTCACAATAAAACATTTAAGAAAAAATAAAATAAAATAGCCCCCTTTTCTCCTTAGTGTCCTTTATTTTGTTTCAGATCACATACTACTTATATTTATAGTCTATTTTGGGTGAGTCTGCCTTACCATAGGAGACAATCTACATGAGGACAGGAACTTTGCCTTCCTTACTCATTATTATGCCTAGAACCAAGTACATTCTCAAATGTTTTAAAGAATGAACAATGAGTGGTTTTACTTATATAGACAGTGATATCAACACATTCGTTATTAAGACAGAATCACTACTGATTGTATTGCTATCAGTCATTGTAATCCAACCAAGAGCCTAAAAAGGTATTTGCATTTCCAAAAACAACTTCAGGTTCCAAAGCTCTTAAATTGATGTGCTTGGGATCTTTTAAGGGCTTATTTTTTTTATAAAGACTTTGAAAGGATTTATCTTCTTTTATTTGCAAAACTATGCAAAAGAGACCTTAGAAAATCAAAGTATTTCAAGGCTAAAGTCTTAAGTTCCTAAAAGAAATAAAGAAAAAACAACTCCTAGGTGTAAAACAAAACATAACCCAAACCCATTGCTGTTGAGTCGATTCACCTCATGGTGACTCTGTAGACAGAGAAGAAAGGCCACATAGGATTTCCAAGGCTGTAATCTTATGGAAGGCACATCTTTCTCCCACAGAACAGCCGGTGGTTTTGAATCGCCAACCTTTTAGGTAGCAACTGAGTGCTTACCCACTGCATCACCATGGCTCCTTTACTAGGAGGTCAATTCATGAATCAGGAACAGGTACTGGACAATTAGAAAAGAAAACAAGCAACTTCAATACCAGCTCAGACCGTTTTAGTAGACCAGAGTCAACAACTCATAGCTGTCTGCTACCCTAAAAATTTACAGTCTCAGGAATCTTAAGGAGCAGTTCTGCTCTGTCCTATGTATCAGAATCAACTCGATGGCAGTGTTCATATTTCCCAGTGAGGAAAAATTACTTAATTGTGTCTGTTTGCAATACTTTGAGAAAAGTCTTTAAATATGTAAGGTGTCTTTTTCTCCCATTCATTGACTACTGTAAAAGATTACATTCAGGATATTGCTTCTTTATTTATTTTCCCTTCAAAATCCTTGTAGGATTACGGCACCACACCTGAATATATATGTAAGCGAAATGAGGAAGTGAAGAAAGCCCAGGAAGAATATGACATTTATGTAAAGGAAAACCTTAGAAAGGCAGCTATGAAAAGGCTCTCCGATGAAGAAAGGGAGGCGGTTCTACAGGTACGTGCTCTGTAATGTATATTCCTCAGTAACTCTTTGGAACATCTCTAAATGGCATACCATTTTTCTGCTTCCCTTGATTATTAAAGCCAGTACATTGATTTTGAGATCAGAACACCATCCTTTGGTTATTGTAACAAACTACTTGCAGCAAATCTAACGCTTTGGGGAGAGGGAAGAGTTTTGTTCAGAGATTCATTGAACATTTTATTTCTAATATGATGAGATTCTATGATTTTATAAAGTGTTGTAAGGAAACCCATCTCTCTTACAAGAATCATGCCTGGATAGGGCAAACTAGCTTTCTTATTTTCATTCTCCTGTCCCAATGTTTAAAAATAAGATAGCCATAAATTGGTTATTTTTCACTAGATGGAGCTCTAGAATAATTGAAATTGTCCCTTGATTGACCAACTTTTTTATCTTCTTTTTTAATTATAACACAAATGTTCTAATGTTAGCATAACTAGGTGTTCGATTTTATGTGTGTTTTACTTCTTTTAAATAAATATAAGTAAAATTTACTCTAAACAATAGTTACATTTGAAGTTTTAATGTAAGACTTTTATGTGAAGCATTTAAAATATTAGAAGATGTGAGCAGTTTCGGCTCCATCATCTTGTTGGTTGTTGTTTTTGTTAAGTGCCATTGGCTCAGTTCCAACTCATAATGATTCTGTATAGGGTTTTCAAGGAGCAACTGATTGGTTTGAACCACCAACCTTACAGTTAACAGTCCAGTCCTTATCCTACAGCTCACTCCAGGACTCCATCATCTTGTTTGTTGTTGTTAAGTGCTGTTGAGTTGGTTTTGAGTTATAATGATCCTGTATAGGTTTCTGAGGAGCGACTGGTGGGTTTGAACGCTGACCTTGTGGTTCAAAACAACCTTGCAGTTCAGTGCTTTATCCTACAGCACTACATCAGGACTCCTTCATTTTGTTTAGAGGAGTCCTGATGTGGCACTGTAGGATAAGCACTGGACTGCAAGGTAGGTTTGAACCTCAAGGTTGGTGGTTCAAACCCACCAGATGCTCTTTGGAAAGCCAAGACAGAGTCACTATGAGTCAGAACCAACTCAGTGGCACTTACCAAAAACAAGTACTATTCTAGAGTTAAAGTCTTACAGAGGTGAAAATAGTGCTTTACCCTTTGCTTTGGTATTTTAAAAGTTTTCTACAAAGTCATTTCTAGTGACTTTTATAAATAGCACAAACTCTTTTTACCATATCAATTTCAGAAAAGTAGATTCATCTGCTATTATAAGGTGTGGCTCTGTAGGATAAGCACTGAACTGCAGACTGCAAGTTTGGCAGTTAAAACCCACTAGCTACTCTTCAGAAACCCTATACAAGGTCACTATGAGTCAGAACTGACATGACAGCACTTAGCAACAACATGCTGTTATCCTTAACATGTTATCAGTGTCATCAAAATCATCAATAAGCATTGGTTAAATGCATAGAGTCTTGTGCTAAGCTCTGAGGATATTGTTTTAAAGGCATAAGATACAACTTTTGCTAGAGAGAATGTTTTAATTTAATTGATGGGAAGTGATGTGTATATGTTGGTGTTGTTGAGAGTGCCTTAAAGACAATTCTAATTCATAGAGACCCCAGGTGGCAGAACAGAAGTGCCCTCTAGGGTTTTCTAGGCTTTAATCTTTAGAGGTATAGGTCACCAGGTCTTTCTCTGGTGGAGCCACTAGGTGAATTTAAACCACCAACCTTTAGGTTAATTAAGCCTTCAACTACATGGGCTTATTTATATATAGGCAGATATGTATATGTGAATGTATGTATATGTGAGGATGTGTGTGTGTGTGTGTGTGTGTGTAAGTTTTTAAGGGTTCCAGGGCATGACCCGTCACTGAAGGATGAAGATTTTTGGCTGAGCATTGAAGTGCCAAGTAAGAAGGGATCTGATACAGCAGTAGTGGCCTAAGGATAGGGACTGTGTCTCTTTGTTGACAGCTGTATCCTGGTACCTAACATTGAGCCCAGTATAAACATAGGTGCTCAGTAACAATGTGCTAGAAGGAAAAGGAGAAGGGCAGGCAAGCAGGCAGCAACAGAAGTAGGAATGTCATTGGCATTTTCAGGGAACACTTAGCCGATCAGTGAGACTGAAACAGAACATTCATGAAGGGAAGGTGACCCTGTGAATATACCATTGTGAATGTAGTGTACAACTCTGCAATGACTCAAAACTGAGTGGTGGTGGCTCATTCTATTGTAACAAATTAATTCAATTCCCTAATTCATTAGAGGAAGGGTACTGGTCTTGAGCCATTTATTCTCATTCATAGTTCATTCCTTCTCTCTCTGTCTGTCTGTTTCTTATTCTCTCTCCCTTTTCCTCTGCTCCCCAGCCCACCAGCCCTTTGGATTCTACCCTTTTCAGAAAGTATGTAGTTTTGTGAAAGCCATGTTTTTCTGTCTACACGATGCTGAAGAATAGTGAAAAGAGGAATAACTTCATTCAGGAGGAAAAGGCTTCCCCTTCACATCCCCTTTTGGCCATAACCTCCTAATGTGGTCTACAGGGCAGGAGTTCATTGCATCCCCTTTGGTGCATCTGTAGCAAATTCTCCATTGGATGCTTGATTGGCTGGGGAGTATAATTTCCATAGCAACAAAGCCACTAGCTACATTCCTGACAAGCCCTGAACCACACTTCTCTCCCTGGTGATGAGTTACTGTTATTTGACAACACGGTTATATGCCCCCAAGCTGGCTACATTCTGTTCCTTCTTCATGAAATAGCTCATTATACTTGGAAGGCATCATCTGGTCTAATGATTCTAAACCCCTTATTTACAGATGAAGATATAAAATGCAAAAATGTTAAGTGAGCTCATTTGTTCATTCACCCTGTTCATTGATTGCACATCTAGTATGTTCCAAACACTGCCCAGCCCTGGGGAGACTGTAGTGAGCAAAACAAATATGGCTCTTATTGTCAATGAGCTTAGAGTTTACCTTTAATTTGCTATTGGTCACCAAATTATCAAGTATCTGAATAAGGGTTACAACTCTTACCTACCAATTCCCAGACCAGTGTTTTCTTCACTATGTCATACATACACACCTGCCACAGAGGCATCAGGGGGACGCTGTACTAGTCAGAACTCCAACAGGAAAGAGAAGGCACACTCTGCTGAGAATCTGAAGAGAATTCAATGAAGGAACGCTTTACAGAAGTGAAGCAGAGTTAAGGGAGCCAACCAGGAACCCTATGACTCCCCAAGACTAAGGACAATGGGAATTTACCACCACCCTTAGCATGAAGGGCAGACAGATATTAGTGTTAGCAGAACATGGGGGAAAGCTGGTTATTTAACTCAACTAGAGAGGTTAATCAACTCAACTTCCTAATGCAGTAAAGGGAGGATACCAGTCTTCGCCCATTCATTCTCGCTCATATTCATTCACTGCCCCCCAACCCTCACTTTCCAACCCATACTCTGACAGGTGTTGTAGTCACAGAGGGATGCAGCCAGAACTAGGATCAATGGGATGCAGCCAGAACTAGGGTCAAAGAAGCACCCTAACGTCTATTGCCTGCCATGAATGCCTCCATTGGTTGAACACATTTAGAGTTCAGAGGGCAAAGGAGCCAGAGCAGTGCAACCCACAACCCTCAGACCTCATCCAAAGCACAGAGCCAAGCAAGAAGGTAGAGACTGGATGGTGGGGATGGAAGGGAAGGTGCAAAAGGAACATGAAACTCAAAACACTTCCTACTTATTTTACGACCACTTTTCTGTATTTGAAACATTTCCAAAATGAATAACTCTCATCTCATCATTAAAACAAGAGAAAAAAAAAGAAAAGTAAGGGAAATTTGCTATTGTTGCAATGCATGAAAGATGATCAGCTGAAATCACATGAAAAGAAAAGGAAAAGTCTCAGAAACCTCGAGGTGATTATTTCCTTATCATATGGAATATTCATTATATGTGGTTTCCATTCCCTGGCTGTTAACTTTGATCCATGCAAGACTGCACACACTGGAATAAAAGCAATCTATACTTCAATAGAGAATCCGAGGAAAAAATAGAAAGAGAGAGTGAGAATCTGGGGGTGAGGGAATATAGCTGCAGTGAGCACAAGTGATATGGAAGGAGTACCCAACTAGCTGTGAGCAGCCTTTGATACTTGAAAGTGTATAACTCAGTAGATTTCCTCTGTGCAGTGGGCTCCCCTGTGGAGCATTCTAGAAGCATAATTCTTGTTTCATAAAAAAAGGAAAAGAATGACTGAGAAATAGAATTCTTTTGAGGGCTTCTTTTTGTAATACATCTCCATGCACTTTTAATTTAATCACACCATCTTTCTAGCCCTACTCTTCTTTCTTTCTTCCTTGTTTTTAGACTTGAATTTTTTTTCCATCTACCTTTTCCCTTTCCAAATCCTTGATATATTCTCACTCAACTAGAAGTCAACATTTGTTGCCCTTTTCCACAACCAACCTATTCTTACAGTGTGCCCTATCCTACGATCATATTTGCCTAAGTACAAAAATAAACCACTGAGATTTTATTGCCCTTAGGAAGTTTTTACAAGATAAAATTTTTACCACAAAGGGCTTATATGAAGACATGATTATGTAAAACACTTGTAATCTTCTCGTAAATATAAATGTGTGACCTTCATTTTCAAGGACCATGTTTCCAAAGAAGTATTTTAAATTGTATTTGCATTTTTGTGGGTGTGTATTGAGTGAGTGAAAGCTTACAGGGTAGATCATCAATTTTATACTCAGCAAATCATTGTAATGATTAGAATTCCCTCCATGCACCCTTAACCAACGGTAATTACCTCTACTACCCCCCTTTTTAAAATGTACACACAGCACATTGTGAATATATATTCATTTAAATGTCCAGAGGACACATTTTGCAAGATAGTCGCCTGCCCACAGGCACACTGCTTTTCTCAATCCATGGGCCTACAGTCTTCTGCTGCTGTTGTCTCTATGCCATCGTGTCTGCCACCA